AACAAACAAACAAACAAATAAACAGAACATGCGTGCCTGATGTGTTGTCTTCACTTAGTTAGTAGGACCAAAAGATTGTAAGCGCAAATGAGCAAATTGACGCACCGATCGCCTCAATAATAACTTGAATGGTAACTTTGACACAACGTAACTCCTACACGTGCGAGTTACGCAATGGGCACGTGCACGTGCCCATACTGCATACTTCTTATTGACAGCGCTGCTAACCTACAATCTCGGTCATGGTGGGGTAGTTTAGTTCTTGTCTTGTTCCCGAATTCGGCACCCAAAAATCAACATGTGTCATTTTCCCACTGTATAAATGCTGTAAAATTTCATTTGAATTGACCAATAACAAAACAATTTAATATTATACCTACAATATTGGTTAATTTAAATGAAATTTAAAAAAAAGATGGTGGGAAAATGGGAGATTTTGGTTATATATTCATCATTGATATGGGGAAGGGGTTGTTTAGATCGTTTTTCTTCCGACCGAGATTGCAGTGCTCTTAGTATAAAGTATGCAGTGTGGGCACCTGTAATCATTACGTAATACGTACATGAAAATGTTTCATTTTTCCACCACATAAATGTCTTAAAATTTCCCAATAACATAACAACCCAGTATTATAGCTACAATATTGGTTAATTCAAACAAAATTTCTAAACATATGGTGGAAAAATGACACGTTTTGGTCACAGGCCGCCGAATTCATCATTTGTTCGGCAGAGTGGTAGTTAAGTTTGTCCCGACCGAGATCGTGGGTCAGCAGCGCTCTTGGTATAAAGTATGCAGTATGGGCACGGGCAGTGGGCACGTGTAATCATTACGTAAGAAGAAGAAGAAGAAGAAGAAGAAGATACTTTATTTTTGTGTACATGAAAGTATTACTGAGATGATCGGTGCGTCACTTGACTCGGTTGGGTTTATTATCTGGTCCTACTAACTACTTGTAGGCAACAGATCAAGCACGATGAGTAGTAACAGTGGCCGCATGACATATCGTTTAAGCCAGCAACAAGTAGTCTTCAGCGAAATTTAAAACCAAAATACCCCGTTGGCTGGGATACGTACTTGGCTGTGGTTTTGACTCAAGAATCAGCAAGATATGAGCCTGACTGTGATCGTCTTCGACCAGTTCACAAAACCGAGAGAGAAAGAAGCAACTCCAAAGAGCACGACATTGACTGGCAGTAGTTTACTGAGAAAAAATTCACCTCGGCTCCAGAGATATTGTCCTCTTCCATTAAAGTGCCAGTGGTTTTCCGTTACGAGCACGACGAGTCCGTCGAACACGATCCCTTCGCTACAAACGCACCACGTCCTCTACATTTGGCCGAACGGTCGGAGTGCAATGAGGAGCGTTTCAATTATTTTCAAGCGGTTAAGTTAGGCAAGCCCAGGAAGGCGGTCTGTAAAGAAATCGAAAAGAAAATTGAGGTCAATGGGATGAACTTGAAGACATTAGGTCGTAGGCTGGTGTTTTGCTACAGCAACCGTTATTATTCTCTGATGTAAAACGGAACAACACCTCGATGATAGCCCGACCTCAGACCGTCTACTTTCTCTTATAAGTTAGCCGAGATTGCAAGCAAAATATTAACTGCGGGGGATTTGAACAAGCGAGAACGCCAGGGTTGGATGGTCGGAGAGAGAAATTAGACGGTCTGTGAAATTCTTTTGAGAGGTTGAATCCCGCCCGCTCCGCGCTCATTCTCTCGAACTTGTAAACAAAAACTACTTTAGTGAACGTTAGCAAATATAAATTTATGTTTAGAGTGAAAGCAACCATATGTTTTTCATAAGAGCCAGAGTTACTCGATTCATTTTTTTCTTGCCCAGCTTTTTATCGTCCTTGCTTATTTTTTTCTCTAAGGTGTTAGCATTATTGCCACCTTAAATTCGGGATGAAATAAACGTTAATGTATTGTTTATAGGGCATCGCCACATTTGTACCACTCATTTTCCTTAATATATATTGTAATTATCCGTTGCTCATTATGAATGGTAGCAAAACAGCGGCGGAGTCTAAAATATGGAGCCATTCCGATGGGTCTTGTGCATGATTACGTTCTGTTCTCAAATTTCATTCTCAAGCTTCGTTTGGCAACGCTGTTAGTGAAGTATGCTGTATGGGCACGTGTACTAATTGTGTAACTCGTACATGTAAGAGTTGCGTAATGTCAAAGCTACTGTATAAGTTATTATTGGGACGGTGCGTTAATTTGCTATTAGTTACCCTCAAGCCTAGCACGTTTTTGTTTTGTTTTCACGTCGGCAATCTTTTCATTATTAATTTGTTGCTTTGAGCATTTGGTAATGACAAAATTTACGATTTGCATTTTCAAAGTGAGGTTTGCTAGTGAAATATAGCTTTAGTCTGATATCAACGTGCGTAAGGGCTGTTTGTAACTAATCAATTATAACCATGCATACTGCATATATGTTTTCTGTTGTTTAACCAACGTAGGGTAAGTGAAAGTGAACGTTGTTAAGTCCAAATAATATTCAGCCATTTACATTCATCGCTGAGGAATATGCACTTCCTTGTGAGCAGCTTGTTTCAGAGAGAGTAATTAAAAAGGGAATTTGTTACTTCACGTAAGCTTTCGCGTGTTCCTGTTAAAGTTCGTTTCGTTCAAGTGCAAACAAAATCGGAAACTTCCATATCAGGGTTTATATATCAATAACATGCACGATTCATGTGATGTCACATTGTTTTATTCAATGCGGCAAAGAACTTATGTGCCAGTAAGAACTCATTCAGTCCAACCACATGAACGAGAATATCGTCCATTATGGGAGCTCTCAGCATCCTTCGGTTTGAAAATATGTTTCGTTTTAGAAAAGAGTAAAGGTCTTTAGAGTGAGACTGAGATTAGTTTGGTATCAGGAATATAAAGGTATTTTGATCTTCTAAAAAGCCACTGACCTTTGTAAACGTCTGAAATAAAGTTCTAGTATATTTTCCATAGGGAAAGTTTTATCGAGAGCTGCTTTTGCGAGCAAGAAGAACTGTAACAGTAAGCTGCACTAACTAATTGAAAAGGCGCCAAAGTAATTCTATAAGACTCCATCGAATTGCCAATTTCGTGAATAATTGCTACGAACAATCGAAGCGATTTCATGGAAACCGTCCTCCGTTCGGCACGTAATCAGTGTGGAATGCTCTCAGTTTTAGCCGAGCCACAAAAATAAAAGAAATTGTTTTGTTTAAACAATTAAGGACCCTCAGACCGATTCGAATGTTCCGCAAATTCTAAACTACAGGACGCAGTTACTGTATTTCTATCTTTTTTTTTCTTCAAGGAAAACGGGGCGGGGGAGTCTTACATGTGTTTAAATTTTTGACCACATAGATGATTTATTTCATACGTGTTATGATTTATTTTCCAGTAAAATTATCGACGTTAATGACGTTGAGTTAAGGTTTCTACAACGCGTTATCATCGCTGCATATCAAAATGTTACCTCTCCGAAGTTTTTTTCCCTTCGATATCCTTTTTCCAGTTGTAATTCGTCTACGTTTATTACGACATGAAACTATTAAAAAATATATTTGTCGTGTTTGGACAGAAATTTCTGTCATCGTCAGTAACAATGTTCTTATCTTTGTTATAAATATCTTTATATAAAATTTCCAAAGCTAAAGATAAATTGATAACGACCTTTTCAATTAATCGTGGCTATACATGTCAAGTTCTGAAATTTCGAAACTACTACCTGAACGACGTTCTAACTCGGAAACAGAACGTATTCTCTTCGACATTTGTCTTTGCAGTCTTGGTTTTCTACAAACTCCTTGAATTAATTGAGCTCTAATCGTCGATTTTTTTTTTTGTCGTTCAAAAAAGCAGTGGCCACAAGCCCAGCAATAGTTTTTATCAGTGAACTTTTTTCTCGTGGCTTTCTTCCGACGATCCCCAACCAGCATAGATCGCTTTGCCACCAGCTTCAACAAAGCAGGAAGCTCAGGCTGTTCCTCAACATAACGAATCCTTGCCCCATGACTGTAGTGTGATGCGACCTGAAAAACGGAACCAGACGATTTACGTTTAGAAATTGATCCCATCAACGCCTTCGATAAACGTACATGTATTAAGGAGGCTGGCAACAGTTTCCAGCTCTTTTTTTGATAGCTATTCTTCGAATGATGAATACTATTACGTGATGCTGCAATAATGGTATCACACACATGCCCAATCATTGGTAAACAAGTTTCGGTCATCTTTTTTATATAACAGGCTACCATAGCAACAATATAACCTGCTAAAAAACCCCTTAATTTTAGTGTTAAGCGCTTATAATTTAAAAACGAGCTAGGTGGCCACCGTTTTCTATTCTCGAGCCGTGATAAACATTTTAAGACGCAACATTTTACGAAGTCTAAAAAAATTCTGTGGTGAGGGCTCAGAGCCACCTTAACTTTTCGAGCATTTAAGGGTTGTTAATTAGTTACTTATTAATTAATTAATTGAGTTGTACATAGAATTTTTAATTAATTTAATCAGTTTTTAATAGTTCTATCTTTATTCCGAAAAGCCCTTTTGGGACGAATAAAGTATGTATGTATGTATTTAAGGTGATTCTGAACCCTCGGCACATATATTTTTTTTAAACTTTGTAAAACTTTGTGTCTTATAAAGCTTAACACAATTCGATGATAAAAACTTGGTTAACTGAGCTCGTTTTTGAGTTATAAGCGCCTCAAGCTAAAATTCAGGGTGTTTTGAGCAGGTAACACTGTTGCTATGGTAACCTATTGTGCCACAAAATTGACGCCAATATTAATATTCTCACCAATGATTGGGCAGTTTTTTGATACTATGATTGTGGCAACAATGGATATAGAGTGATTTTAATGACCTATCAAAATCTACGCTTTGGAAATTGCTGGAAACTGTTTTCAGCCACCTTAAAAAAAAAAAAATGTTTTCAGAACAGTCTGCTATGAATCTGCTGTGACATACTCCGCACTCGACTGGACACGTGAGGTCTACAAAGTTCACATACTGTTGCCACCTACTCGGCTCGTACACGGATTCCAAAGACCGTGAATTTTAATTTCTTTTCCTTTTAAGTGGGGCATTTAGAAATTTAGTGACACTTGGGACCTTACGATTTTTTATTACAATTATTTTTTGATTTTGATTTTAAATATTTGACATCTTATGCACAATATTTTTTCGCGTGACTACCAACCGCCAATGAAAGCGTGCCAGACTACAAAGGATGTCACGTATTTCAATTCAAGACGTTCGAACGATGTAAATAAGTTAATTTTAGGATAAACTGGTGATGAGTTAGGTTGTTTTCTAGAACTTATAATTCTGGCTCCAATCCAGACCATTGCCCAGTCTCCAATGTGTTTAAAAATAGAGTAGAAGTCTACAAGTCTTTGGCCTGCGCATAACGCTCGCGCTACGTTTTCTTGAAACTTCACGCGGAAGTTTCCTCAGCGCGCTTTCGACGCGCTGGTTTTTGAATCACGCGTACTAACGTTAGTATTTCAACTGATGAAGGCTCAAGCACCAGCCGAAACGTCTTGAGCAAAACATAGAACTTGCAATGGCAGAAGTGATTAAGCAATAGCGGTAAAAATTAGTGATGTCAGCTTTCTCTTGTTTCTAAATCAGAGTTCAAAGCTAAAAACAACCGCCCAAATTTAGCTAACAAAAGGCGATTATGGCCTCTGACTGTTCCGGTTTTAGTCAAAAGGCGTTCGACAATGATTGTGCAATATTTGTTATCGTTCACTCGGCGTTCGCCTTCTCTATATTTCTTCCCTTTTCTCCAAGCGTAGCTTGCTATCCTCACATCGCTCCATTCAACCCACTGGTTTACATATCTCGATGATTGATCCATGTTTGGTTACGAGTGTTACGACTACTTCGTAGCTCGCTTGATTTGCTTTTGACGGACTATAGCGCGCCGTCGGGGTCAACGAGTCTAGAAAACACTTTGTAACACTTTGTAAACATTTCACTCTTGACAGTCATGATTGTTGTGTACAGCTAACTTTAGAATGGTCATTTTTATGTTCTGGTTTCGTCCAATGCAGAAGATTTCTTTCAAAAATTTAACTGTGCAGAAGATTTTGGTTTCAGCTCAATTCTCAAAATGACATTGACCGGCAATGCGGTCGTCTTCTTTGTGAGTTTTAAATTCATATTCTAAATGTTCAAGGCGTCACGTAGTGAAAAAATAAATTAATGACCGCCGGAGTGGTCACGTAATGCAATTCTAGAAAGTACTCGATCGACCTAGCTGTCGCGCTTACAGCAGTTCCGCACTTCGCGTAACAGCTTAACCTTGTGTTTAGGCAAGGGAGCGCAGGACTTTTTTTCATAACGAATAACTGCGAAAAAGGTTTCAAAACAGGTCATGAATTTGCTGAGAAAGAAACCTGTTCCTGGTTACAGCTCGACACGAAGACATTCTTGTAAGAGGGAGCGAAATTTTCCATAGTAACCTGGTAAAACAGGAAACGGGACATACACGTGGGTCCAGTCACGCAGTTATTAATAGAAATGATATGTCATGAAATGTGCTTACTCTAGTTATAAAGTCTCTTATAAAGGCTTACAGTGGTTCCGCACAACGCGTTACATCTCAAGCCTGTTGTTTAGGCAAGAAAGTACGGGTCAAAGGAAAAGAACTTGTGTTTTTTCCAATAAGGACTCTTACCGATTCGAATGTTCTGCAAATTGTAAACCACAGGACGTAGTTGAAACTATTAAAAAAGATATTTTAAAAAGATGTAACAACGTTCTCATTTATGTTATAAACCTCTTTTTTAAATTTCTAAGCTAAAGATCTCTTCAAATTGATATCGACCTTTTCCATGAATCATGTCTATACTTGTCAAGCTCGGATCGATGTTCTAACTCGGAAACAGAACGTATTCTCTTCGACATTTGTCTTTGCAGTCTTGGTTTTCTACAAACTTCTTGAATTAAATGAGCTCTGATGGTCGATTTTTTTTGTCGTTCAAAAAAGCAGTGGCCACAAGCCCACCAAAAGTTTTTATCAGTGGACTTTTTTCTCCTGGCTTTCTTCCGACGATCCCCGACCAGCATAGATCGCTTTGCCACCAGCTTCAACAAAGCAGGAAGCTCAGGCTGTTCAACAACATAACGGATCCTCGGCTCCTGACTGTAGTATGATGCGACCTGAAAAACGGAACCAGACGATTTACGTTTAGAAATTGATCCCATCAACGCCTTCGATAAACCTACGTGTATTAATATTAAAAAACAAATGTTTTCAGAACTGTCCATTACATATCGACACCTTTCCTATTACTCATTCCGTTTGGAATTTTTAGTCCGACATTCAAGCAAGGTTAAAGTTTCATGATAACTATCTGTTTTGATAGGTTAGAATGTACACCCCTTGAATATCGTTAAGAGCCAGTAAATTGTAAACCTAGCCTGGAACCTTTAGCCAGCTTCTAGCTCTCCATTATATAATAATATCTGACCAATCTGCTTACCAGATGTCTGTCTAATACTGTGTTTGGCTGCAGTATTAATCTCTCTTCTTCCAAAGAATCTTCCCTTGAAACGTCGTCTATTCCATCAAGGTTGACGAGTGATAGATCCTGACTCACCTCGTTGCAAACAATATCATCTGTCATTATGGTAGTGTCTTGCAGCTTAGCTGAATTAAAGCAGATAAAGCATCAGTGTTTTTCAGTAGGTACTGTGATCATTTCAACAATTCAGCTATAACGGGCTGAGTGCATTTGTTTCCTGCGACTATCAAAACAATTTATGACCCTTCAGTGAAAAAAAAAATATAACTACAGTGGAACCCCGTTAATCCAGTCACCAACGGGCCACAGAAATCTGGCTGTTTTAACGGGGTGGCCGTATTAAAGGGGTTCTTTAATTGAGAAAATAACTGACCGAGCTTTTATTCGGACCAGAATAAAGTGGCCATAATAACGAGGTGACCGTATTAAAAGGGCTAGGTCACGCTATTTTAGGTAATTTTGTTTAATTTTGTTAACTATGAGCTCTAAGCGTCAAATTGGCAGAGCAGGAGTCTTTCATTTACAAAATCACGGCCACCTAACAACTGAGAATGTGATTCCAGCTGTGTAAACGACATGTTGATATAAACTGATATAAATGTGAAAAAAGGTGGGCCGACGTTTTTCAAATTTACTCAATATACAACCCATTTTAATCCTCTCCAGTTTTATCCATTCATGTCCCGTCTTGGCTTTCCTGTGTTTTGCTTGAGTTCTTCTACCGTTTTTGTGATATTTTAGTTAATTCTATGACCATTTGATCAGTGCTGAAATTGCCTAAAATTGCGTGACCTAGGCCCCTTAACTTGGTGGCCGTAAGGCGGGGTTCCACTGCATGTACACGAGCTGCATGCAATATCTATTATTTATGGTGGTTATATTTCTTACGTCTTGTGAAAGTGATCAAAGCACAAATTGCTCTTGCATGGTTAAGGAAGTTAAAAAAAGAGACTGAAAAGTCATCAAAGAAGTTTGAATTGTCTAGCCTGCTATGGGAAACTGAATCACTTTATTATCCAATTTGGCTTTCATAATGTCTTAAGCTCATTGTCTTCATGGTCAGTCTCAAGTAGTCACGATGCTAGTGCAGGTAAAGATACAACAATGAGGAAGCATCATTCGAGAAAATCTATTTTTATTATTATACCCTTCTTACTCTCTCTACTTTCTTGGAGTGTGGTCACACCAGTGTTCGTAATGGTTTGGCTTTCTGGAACGGTGATCTTACAACTAAGATTTTGCGCTTTGCCAACACTTGGATAATCTGTGATAAGAACAAAGAAAAAAAATGATTTGGATCATTACTGTTGAAATGTATCATAGTTATACGCATTTTTATTTGTCGAAAAGTTGCAAACGCGGTAATGATGATTGTACGATTCAGTCGACAAAACCATGAATAAACCTTGATATTTCTGCCGCGTACTTAATTGTGCACACTAGTATCAGTCAGATATCTTAGAATATTTATCCAATAGCATATGTTACTATCAATTTATCACGACTGCCTTTCTCTTAGTAGCTACGCTTCTCACTGTCTCTGCTGTTGTAGACAGCGAGCAGCCTAGCAGTGTGCTGTTAACACAATGGCGACCGCTTTTTTGCGCTTTCGTAGTGCCTTTGAGAAAGGGAAAGAGAAAGAGCTGTTAATTGACCAGGTAATAGTCCAGTCACCTTCACTTCCTCTCTTGTAATTGGCTTTAGTCGTAACTCGAAATGGTCTGGATGTAGCACTGGCTGTCAATCCCGAGATCAACTCTATTGTAAAGGTCAGTTCCCATTTATTTCGCTCTGCGATGTCAGCCTTCTCCAACCAGTAGAAGTGATCCCCACCTTTTTTCTTGTAAACCGAACCAAGATCGACACAAATGACTCGTCGGTTCGTCTCGCTTTGCGAAGTGCTTACTTCTAGCTCAACAGAACCTGTCAGAAGTGTCAAGCCAAAATGATACACTGATGAAACTACCTGCGTACATAGAGCTTGTTTGGGTGTAGACTAAACTCATTTCAAGAGGTTTAAATCTTTTTTAGATCTCTCTATATTGAAAATTCCTTTATTTCAGTATATGGTACACGCTTTAGATACACGAAAGAAAACGAAGCCCCGACAGCTGCGATCCTTCGAAAGTAGTGATAGACCTGTAAAAGACTACTAAGTCCCAAAGTCCCGAGGTTAGTTATTTTTGGTAGAGTACGGTATAGCTTTTAAACATATTGAACGCAAAAAGAGGAACCCTAGTGTGGGTCACATCATGCTAATATCACATTGCTTACCACTAGTGTCGTGCGTTCTTATGGCAGCTCTTGCACACCTCTGTACATGTACGTAGACGTTAGTGATTTCCACAGATGCCCGGACCACAACAGTCACCACAGGATTTTCAAGTCGATATTCTAAGCCGGCAGCTACTTTCTTAGTTTTCTTGTCATAGACATCTTTAAGGTCAATAATCTGGACCTCTACATTTACCTCCAGATCCTTGTTTAGGGGCTCAGGATTCGTGGGTATTGTAGCCTCATGAAGCTGCCGTCGTTTTTCACCAGAGGCACCTAATAGATGCAAAAGTCCTCATAAAATTCTAGTATTTTTGAGCACTTGGTGACCCAACATTAATTTAGCTGGGTAATTGGTGTTTAAATGAAAAAAGTGACTCTTAAATTGCAGTCTCCATTCCCTGTTCACTTATGAAAC